ACTTCCCCAAAAAACACAAAGTGAATTTTCCTAAAAAATAGACTTCAAGCCAAACACTGTAACAAGAGACAAAGATCATCAGATTATAATAAAGGGGTCAATTCATTAACAGAATATAACAACTGTAAATATTATATGCAACATCAGAACATCTAACTATATAAAGCAAATAACAGATAGGAAGAGAGAAAATGACAGAAATATAATAATAATATGGGACTTCAACACCCTACTTTCAACAATGGATAGATCATCCAGAGAGAAAATCAGTAAGGTAACATCAGACTTAAACTATACATTACACCAGATTGGACCTAAGAGGCATATACACAACATTTCACCTAAGAGCAGCAGAATATATATTCTTCTCAAGCACATATGGGACTTTCTCCAGGATAGATAATATGTTAGGCCACAAAAGAAGTCTTAAATCATATCAAACGTATTTTCAGACCACAATGGTATGAAAGTAGAAATCAATGACAAGAGGAAAACTAAAAAATCCACAAATGTGAAGATTAAACAGTATGCTCCTGAATAATGAATGGACCAAAGAAATCAAAAGGGAAATAAAAAAATATCAAGACAAATAAAAATTGAAACACATATCAAAACTTTTGGGATGCAGCAAAAGGAGTTCTAAAAAGAAAAACTTTCTACATTAAGAAAAAAGAAAATTCTCAACTAAACAACCTAACTTTACACCTCAAGAAACTATAAAGAGAAAAGAAAATTGAGCCCAAAGTTAGTAGAAGGCAACCACAAAGGTCAGAGTGGAAATGAATGAAATAGAGACTAAAAAAACACTAGAGAAGATCAGTGAAACTAAGAGCTGGTTCTTTGAAAAAAAAAAAACAAAATTAGCAAACCTTTAGCTAGAATAAGAAAAAAGAGAACACTCAAAATTAGAAATGAAAGAAGAGACCTTATCACTGATAACAAAGAAATACAAAGGATCATATAAAATTACACAGGTATATACCACAAAATAGGTAACCCAGAGGAAATGAATACATTCCTTGGAAATACATAACCCAACAAGACTGAATCATGAAGAAAGACAATCTGAACAGATCAATTACTAGTAAAGAAACTGAATCAATAACCAAAAACCTACCAGCATAGAAAAGTCCAGGACCAGATGGCATCACTAGCAAATTCTGCCAAATATTTGAGTAAGTAATGTCAATCCTTCTCAACAATCCTAAACTCATTTTTCAAGACTAATGTTATCCTGCTATCAAAGACAAGGATAGCACAAGAAAAGAAAATTATAGATGTAAAAATCCTCAACAAAACATTAAACAAACAGATTTGTCAGTCCATTAAAAGGACCATACACCATGATCAAAGTGGGATTTGTTTCTGAGATGCATTGATAGTTCAAACATAAGAAAATCAATAAATGTGATACATCACATCAACAAAATGAAGGATAAAAATCATATTTCAATAATTGCAAAAAAAAAGCATTTGACAAAATTCAACATCCTTTAATGATAAAAACTCTCAACAAATTGGACACAGAGAATACATACCTTAACAAAATAAAGACCATGTGGGTACCTCGGTGGCTCAGTCATTAAGCATCTAACTTCAGCTCAGGTCATGATCTCACAGTTTGTGATTTCGAATCCTATATCGAGTGAGCCCCAGCCCTGCTTCAGATGAGCTCGAGCCCCACTTTGGGTGAACTCAAGTCCCACTTTGGGTATGAGCTCCAGGTGGGCCCCACTTCCCTCTCTCTCTCTCCCCATCTCTCTCTTCCCCTCACTCACTTCTCTCAAAACAAAACAAAACAAAACAAAACAAAACAAAGCCCATATATGACAAGCCCACAGTTATCATCATGCTCAACAGTGAAAAGCTGAATACTTTTCCTCTTAAGATCAGTAACAAGACAAAGATGCCTCTTCTTTTTTTTTTTTTACGTAATTTATTGTCAAGTTGGCTAACATAAAGTGTATACAGTATAAAGTATATTCATAAAGTGTATATAGTATAAAGTGTATTCAGTTCTTGGTTTTGGGGGTAGATTCCTGTAATTCATCGCTTACAGATGACACGCAATGCCTATTCTTGCCCAGTTTATTCAACATATTTCTAGAAGTCCTAGCCAGAGCAATTAGGCAAGAAAAATAAACAAAAGGCATTCAAATTGTAAAGAAAGAAGTAAAATGTGTGTTTGCAGATGACATTACACGTAGTAAATCCTAAGATGACAAAAACAAACAACAACAACAACAACAAACAACCACTTAGAACGCAGTAAAATAAGTTCAGTAAATATGCAGGACACAAAATCAATACACAAAAATCACTTGTGTTTCTATACATTAGTAATAAATTACTGAAAAAAAGAAATTAAGAAAACAATGTAAAGAAATAGCAGAGTAATTTATTAAAGGAGAAACAATTATGCCAATCATCTGCTCCAGAGAAGCAGCACTCTGCTTCCCCTACATAAAGTACTGTCTATATTTTTCCAAAGCAGGAGAACATCTTCAAAATTCATAGTGAGTGTTCGGGCTAAGGAAATATCTGAATTTCAAGGTTGAATAAAAAGTCCTATATACTTTAAAACAAAAAGAAAATTTCCTTTCCAAGGAAAAAGTCAATTCAGTATTGAATCCTCATCTATGACAAGGAGTGACAAAAGAAAATAAAATTATTTTGGTCAAGTTTTAAGAGAAAATCCTTAATTTAGAATTCTACACACAGATAAACTATCAATCCAGTATGACAGCAATATAAAAGTACACAAAATTTTTGAAACAAATAATAAAGTTGTTAAACAAGCAAAAAACTGATACAAATGCAAGAAAAAATGAGAAAGCTAAAAGATATAGTGGAAATTTAATCCATTTCTCTCAGGATCTAATTGCTCAAATAGATTTAAAAAAGAAAAGCATTAATTTTAACAATACAATTAACAAGCCTGATCGAAATATTTATAACTATGTGGCCATAATAACAAAGAATGCACAAAACACTAGCAAACATTTAAAATTAAAAAAAATTAATGTTTATTTATTTTTGAAAGAGACAGGGCTTGAGTAGGGGAAGGGCAGAGAGAGAGAGGGAGACACAGAATCTGAAGCAGGCTCCAGGCTCTGAGCTGTCAGCACAAAGCCCAACACAGGGCTCAAACTCACAGACTGCAAAATCACGATCTGAGCCAAAGTTGGGCACTTGACTGACTGAGCCACCCAGGCACCCCAGCAAACATTTTAAAACAAGTGAAACTACATAATATTCACAGCATTAAAAACACTTGACCATGGATTTAGCCACACACACACACACAAAAAATACCAACCCTATTATCCCAAAAACAAAAGTAGAAAGTAGAAATCAACAATAGAGGCTAAATACTCCCATCATTCTCCATTCCCCAATGATATCTACTTACTTGGAAATTTTACACTTTGCTTTATTTTTTTTAAGTTTATTTATTTATTTTGGGAGAGAGAGAAAAAGTGTGAGTGGGGGAGGGGCAGAGAGCGGGAGAGAGAGAATCCCAAGCAGGCTGTGCACAGGCAAGATCATGACCTGAGCCAAAGTCGGACACTTAACCAACAGAGTCACACAGCTGCCCCTAAACTTTGCATTAAATAGTACTTGAGTAAAACCTATAACTGGAGTCACAGATAATTTAGAAAAGAATACTGAAAGACTACATAGTAAAAACTATGGAATGCAGCCAAAGTAGTACTCAAAAAAACATTTACAGCTTTAATGAAATTTATTAGAATATAAGAAAGATGAAAAATAAATAATTAAGAATTGAACTGAAGGAGATAGAAAAATACCAGTGTATATATATGTGCCTATATAAATATATAAATTTAAATAAATATATATTACAAATACACATTACATATAAATATCTTTAAATACTTAAAGTATTACTTTTCCCTGCTGTTTACTCTGTCTGCTAATTATCACAACTGACATAAGATATTCATAAACTCTGCACTGATATTTAGAATCAAATAACAACTAAAAACAGGACTTGAACTCTAGAAGATTTAAAACACATCAAGAATATGTTTTAAAAAAAGAAATTAAATTTGACATAGGATGTATTTATAATATTAAAAATAATAAAAAATTTAAAGTAATAATAATACCATAAGCCATTACTTCTCAAAATTTTGCACAAAATTGCCCCACTGATAGACAAGAGTAAATTGGTCTTCTCAACAATCTTATGTATATATAAGACGTATGGATGAGACTGTTTTAAAACTTGTGGAAAGTGATTCATTACCATAATATAACAAAGATTTCATAAAATCACTTCATCTTTATTTCTATCCAGTTTCCTGGTGCTGAGAACATAAAAGTCAGACACAAAAGTACACCTTTTACTTTCATTATTTTATTAGAAATATATTATTTTTATGAGTCATATATGAGATATCTATAAACATATATTTATAGAGGAGAAAGCTGATGTACAGCTATGAAGAGCATTCATAGTCACATGGGCAAAGATAAGTTAAGACCTTAATTGTTCTGACTCCAACTTCAATGGTCCTGATATAGGAAGAACTTGTTACATATTTTCAGGATGTAATTACTCTGCTAACAACTTTACCAGTTAACATACCTTTGTTAGCAACATCTACAACTGTCTTCCTTTCATTCTCCCATAAATAAAAAACAGGATAATAGACTTCAATGAACTTTACATACACAACAATGGAAATCTAACAAATTAATGAAAGTAAGTCCTGTAAATCCAGCCAAGGAAAAGACTGAAACCCTCTAAAACAATTTAAGCTAAAATTGTACTTTCCCATTTTGAGAGTCAATCATACTTAATTTGAGGATGAAATTGATAATCCTTCAAGAATTACGCCTATAGAACAAGTATTTTAACAATGTCTTTAGATTCTATGTTTTAAATTTATACTATAATGTGTGATGTTTATAAGTTTCTATATACTTTTCTAATACCAGCTTCAATAGATGTATCCTTCTAAACATCTTACCTTTTTTGCTATAGAAGGGGTTTCCTTTTTCATACTTCTTAGTAAAAACTCTGGCATGTTGTTTTCAATATCCTCACGAGTTCCCTTTTTATGCAAAACTGCAGCCAAAAATGAAATAACCTGGAAGGAAAAAAAAAAAAAACCAACGTTTCAATTACTGGGTAAATGTTTCAAGATGGACAAATTTCATGGCTTACATGATTAACTACCCAATTAGTGACAATTTGAGTATGTACAAATAGATTTGTTACAGGGAAAAAAAAAACATGAAATACTAGTATTTGTTTTCTTTATATATATCAACAACTAAATGTACAGTACACAATACCCTTCAATATAGTATAAAAGAATTTTCATGTTGCTGTCTCTTCCACCATAAGTTCTACCTACTTAATGAATTCTTCCTTGATCTCATCAGTCGGGACATTACCTTATTTGTTTCTCTCCATGGAAACTATCTCTTCATATATTCTATTAGAATGAACTATATACAGAAGATGGCGGCGTAGGAGGACGCTGGGCTCACCACACGTCCTGCTGATCACTTAGATTCCACCTACACCTGCCTAACTAACCCAGAAAACCGCCAGAGGATTAGCAGAACGGAGTCTCCAGAGCCAAGCGCAGACGAGAGGCCCACGGAAGAGGGTAGGAAGGGCAGCGAGGCGGTGCGCACTCCATGGACTGGC